TGCAGGCCAGGGTCGGGGTGGCTCAGTGTGGTTGGGGTTGGGGACCATGTCATGAGATGGTGTAGAAGACGCAAGGGACCGACGGATCAAAGGTGAGTGAGTGAGTGAGTCAGTTTGTGGGGTGGCTCGTGGCAAAAGTTTTCATTTGAGTTTGATTTCATGGCTCACGAGTCACGTGAATGATGAATCTTTTGCTTTCGCTTTCTTCGGCTGAGAGTTTTCGGTTTGCTTTCTCTTCTTTTGAGGGTGCCTAAAGCTGAACCACGCCCTTGACCACTTGAAAGCTCACGAACTGGGCTAAGACACTGGTACACTAGAAAAAAAAGTAAAAGAAAAAAAGAATGACCCAAGTCCATTTTCAGCCTAGGAATTCAGAAAAGGCAAAAAGTTGGATCTTGGGTCCCACTTACAAACTGGATATGGCCAACCAGAGAGATGGACCAGACCAGATTGGGTTGGTCATTGGTGGCTCCCTATCTGGGCTTTTTCACGGCAAGCATGGCCCTTGGGGCATGTGGGACATTGATAGGGCCCAATTAGGGGGCAACTTCATGAAGTCGCGGCATACAAAAGATGTAAAGGGTACATATGTGGGTTCAACCGGTTGGTTAAGATCGTGTGTCCGTCTCATCTATTGTGTTGCTCGAGACTGTAAAAGTTTTAAAGTGAAGAAAACTAGTGAAACAAAAACATAATAATGATTTACAGTTTACTTGAAAGTGATAAAAAGAAATATAATAATGATTTTAGGTCACGTTCATTTCTTTCCAATTTTGGACAAGCATCATGGAATGGGATGCCTACCCTAGCCCTATGATGGAAAACAAGAAAATCTCCCCCACAAGCCTGTAGGCTATAGGTTGGTTTATAATATTCTTTTGGGTGTTTGGCAGCAAGCGCAATGCACCACCCTAGTAGACAGATAGAGAGCGAAGATATCAAGGTGGCTGATTTGGCCTAGCCTCCTAGCTAGGTAAATCCCATTTTCTGGTTTAGTTTAGTATATGTTTCCAACCATACAAATACTAATTAACTACTAATTGGCAGCAAAACAAAATGACCCAACTCAAGATAAATGAAATGATCATCAATATATTACAGAAAAAGCAGCAAGAATAATAAAAAGCAACAGATATTATTTTTCTTATTTTGTCACAAGGTGTGCAAAATCATCAGGACTGCTCCATAAAGTTCACAACTTGGGCATAATCCACCTAATTAAGACAGCTACCGAGGAAACTTACGGATCAGTCAGCAAAACCTTATACAATAACAATAATATTAATCCATAATACCATACTAATTAACTACTAATTAAGCAGGTACCAAAATATATATATATATATATATATTTTGCTGCTATGCTAGTAGCAAAAAACAGCTGATCATGTGAGTTGAACAACACAGCAATGCCCGCAGAGCTCTTTCTCTCCATCCTCCTCCATCGGCTCCATGCTTGTCCATGCATCACTGGTTGCTGAGATATCAAATTTATGAACGATCGACATTGTTCTTGACAATTCTCTGTATATGCCATACCCTGCCAGGAAGTACAAGTTAACGCCAATGGGTGCCATTGTTAGGTAACGCCTCTGGCTAAGTGCCCAATTGTGATCATCTTGCGTGCCCAATGCAGATATCAGGGAATTCAGACTTTGTATTTGGGACCCTTCAACTTCATTCCATATGTTGAGCTTCCCATCATATGACTCAATGTGACCTTTCCATTGCTTGTAGCAATCACCAGAGCTAAAAAGCCTCCCATCTACTTCCACAATTTGATTTGGTGGCACATCCAATTGCCACATCCCCACTATGAGGTCC